CCCCCCCCCCCCCCCCAAAACTCAGCTAACTCAACACCATCTGCCAACCTCGCTTTTTGGAATCGCTCTGAGCATTATATTCGAGAAACAATTAGAATATAGCCCAAGAGCAAAGAGCAAAGAAGGGAAAAGCTATGCCATTGCGGTAGTAGTGACGTGCTGCTTTTGTTTTCTTCTTCGAGGGAAATTTTCAAATTAATGCATGGCGGAGGATAAACATATACCAGTCTCCTCCCCATGGGCGAGATCACTCTACGTGCGTTGTATACCGACCTACCTACCTGCCTGCCTATATACCGACAAAATGAATGACAGCTGATTGAATTGATCCAGTCCGGCGCCGTGGCCGGCTTCACCGTTGACCTCTCGCTCTACCCGCTCGACACGATCAAAACCCGCCTCCAAAAGGCGCGCCAGGGCAGCAGCGTATCCTCCGTTGCCAAAGATGCGCCTCAGACCAGACAGGCGCAGGTCCAAGCACAGGCCGCTCGCCCTGCCTTCCGGCACATCATCCGCGGCATCTATGCCGGTCTGCCATCGGTTCTCTTCGGATCTGCCCCCTCCGCGGCATTCTTCTTCATCACCTACGACGGCATAAAGCGGCAGCTCCTCCCGGCTTCATTGGAGAATACGGCTTCCAAGACGCAGACGTTCATTGCGCACTCCACCGCGTCGACGTTAGGTGAGATTGCCGCGTGCATTATCCGCGTGCCGACTGAGGTGATTAAGCAGCGCGCACAGGCCGGGTTGTTTGGGGGCTCGTCGCTGCGCGCGCTGACGGATATTCTGTCCCTGAGACATGGCCATGGTGGCGGCGGCGGCGGACAAGGAGGCGGGAAGTTTCAGATGATTCGTGAACTGTACCGGGGTACGGGCATCACGATTGCGCGCGAAATCCCGTTTACGATTCTGCAGTTCACCATGTGGGAGGCTATGAAGAATCGGTATGCGCGATGGGTTTCATCTTCTTCTTCTTCTGATGGTGATGAGGAGGATGACAGCAGTCATACGCTTTCAGGACAAATAGCGGCTGGGCCAAGCGCGGTGTTTGGGAGCATTGCTGGCGGCATTGCGGCTGCGTTGACGACGCCGCTGGACGTGACCAAGACGAGGGTTATGCTTGCGAGGCGCGAGGATGGAAGCAATATTCGAGTGTCGGATGTCGTGCGGCGCATCTGGAGGGAGGAAGGGGCTGGTGTTTTCTGGCGAGGCGTTGGTCCTCGCACCACTGCTATTGCGCTCGGCGGTGCCATCTTCCTGGGGAGTTACCAGTGGACTTCGAATATGCTGGAGGGCGGCTATAGAAGACGCGCTTCTGATGCAGAGTAGCTATGTATTATACTTGTAATTCTTCCTATATGTAGAATAGACTTAGACCCGGAATATCACAATGTCTTCTTGTCTTGCCTATCCAGAATTGGATTGCGGCGCTCTGATTGGCCGAACAATCTGAGGTCACGATCCGCAACACCACGAATTTATATCCTGGCCATCTTTCCTCATGAAATGGTCATTGCAAAGCCAGATACCTAGGTATGGCCTCAGACATAAGGGACCGGCTTAACGGAGGCCATGGCGTGCCCAAACACACCGACAATAAGAAGAGGAACAAGAAACACATCGCAACCAACCCGCTACAACATGGCATCCAGCAGTTCCTGCTGCACCACCCTGCCTCATCCAGCAATCCTAGCGGGGTCTCTCTTCCCAAAAGATATACAGTCTATCACCCACTGCTCCTCCTCCCAGCCAACGTGTTCACCCACCCCCAGCCCTGGGCAGAACGCTATGCATCCCTGTCCGACGCAGAGCGCCAGGAACTCTACGCCTCCATCGCTGCATCTTTTGCTCACATGGGCGTCACGCACATTGCCATCAATGCCCCGATTCTCCTAACCAATACTGCCGGTGATGAGAATCGCATGCGGAGTCCGACTGGCTTGGTTCCGTTATATGGCGATTTCGGAGAATCAATATCAAGCCCGTGCAATAATCATTCAGGAAAGGGTGACCCCTTCGAAAACGCTTTCTGGGTGCAGACAGTCCAGAATGGCGGCATCATACAATGCTGGGCCCCGCTATATACCATGTTCTCACGCGGAAATATCACTGAAAAGGCTCGCATACTGGGCCTGGAACAACAACAACAACAACAACAACAACAAGGGCGGCATCGGTTTACGGGTCTAGATGACGCTTCGCTCAAGGGACAGCGCGTCGAGGAAATCAGTGTTGTCGACTTGTATGCTGGGATTGGCTATTTCGTGTTCTCGTATTTGAAACGAGGTGTCAAGAGGGTATGGGGCTGGGAGCTTAATGCGTGGTCTGTCGAGGGGCTGAGGCGCGGATGTCTCGCAAACGGGTGGAATTGCAGGGTTGTTCGTCTGGATGCTGGTGGCGATGGGCAGTGTGACATGAATAGCGTTGTTGAAACACTGCTACATGACCTCACGGACACAGATCGCGTTGTCATTTTCCAGGGTGATAACCAGACTGCCCCCACGCTCATGGATGCCATACGCCCCGTGCTAAAGAACAGAGGGCTTTGGGCCCCTGTTCGACACGTCAACCTAGGCTTACTGCCTACCTCTCGTCCTACGTGGGAACCCTCGCTAAGGCTTCTGGACCGGGAATATGGCGGCTGGGCTCATGTTCACGAGAACGTTGACGTTGCTGATATTGAGAGCAAGAAGATGGTTATTGTCGCTGAGTATGCGGGTTTGGCTGCTCGTCTGCAGCAGCAAGAAGGACAGCCTTCAATCACCTGCGATCATGTCGAGCAAGTCAAGACTTATGCGCCGGGTGTCATGCATTGTGTCTATGACATTCAGGTTGATTTTTAATTGAACCCATAGTCTAAGTTCCCTTTTATACAATGATACCCGCAAATTACATACCTAGGTCATAACGTTTACTACGTTACGTTCATTATGATACATCCATGTCATTTTTATATCTTCAAACTCCAATCTCCGTATATACAGTCATTACATGGCGCGGAACACAAAAAAAAAATCCCTCTCATACATTCCGCAGAAACTTCCTGGGAATGTTCGATTCAACAATCTGCATGCTCTCCAACTGCTGCAGCCTCTCTTCCGCCAACTCCATCTCGTCGTGGAGCCGGAAATGCTCAATGTCCTCGGGATGTGTCAATTCCTCCGCCGTCGCATCCTCGCCATGAAACTGCTCGAAGTGGTGGATCTCATATTCATACTCAATGTCGCCATGGTGGCCCGGTCCGTGTCCGAAATCAGGTAACCTGACGCCCGCCTGGACCTTGCTCATCCAGTCGTCGCGGGAGACTGCTTCGGAGTCCGGGGCGCTGAAGAGGTCTAGCACCTCGCGTACGACCTTGGCTTTTTGGTCTTCGCTCAGGTGCGCATTGGAAGAGTCTAGGAGGCCGTAGGTTTTTATGATCTCGTCGCTCGTCCAGTCCCCCGAGTTGTCGTAGTCGTGGAGGGCGAAGAAGGAGCCGGCGTCGAACGAGTCGATGTGATGTTCCTCTGATGAAGATCAAGACCTGTCTTTTAGTACGGATTCCTCACTTATAGAAGAACTTCACACCAAATTCACACCTTGCATATGTCTCGTCGCCCAATCTGCCGATACTTCAGCATTTGCGTCGTGATTTCCATGGCCGTACGCAACCGTCGCCAGTGTAAGCAGTGCAACGACACTGCCGCGCATGTTGAAGCTCGCAATCAAACTAGAAGAGAGAAGCCAATATAAAGAATAGCATAGAACTATTACCCCGGCTGAAACGAGCGACGGCGCGAGTGTTGGGTATGAAGCTCCTTGGAAGCCATACGTAACTAGTTAACTACGGTACAGTAACGGGCTCTGTTTGCATTGTATGCACCGCACCGCCGGCGGAAATCTCTCGGGCCAAAGTTTTGCTTCAACATTCGACATACCTACCTACAGTGCCTCATCAACATTCAATTGCACCTCCCTCTCATCCCATCCCCGATTACAACCGCACTCAATTGGGCTTGTTGCAGCTCGCAGAAATAATGAGATAGATAATGCAGGGTTTGTGGTCCCGAGCAACCGCTCGGCTACCGTCCTCGAGCTGCCGTTGCCATGCTTGCCTGAGGACGTATGTCAACGGAGTCGCCTCACGCCCTACCTCGACAAACCGTCGCGGCCTCCGTGTAGCCAACGCCGTCACCACGCTTTACTCGAGTATTTTCGCCGGTGCCGCCATTGCAGACGCCATAGCTAAACGAAAGCGCCGGCAAGAATGGGACGACAAAATCGCGGCTGTCAAGGAAGAAGTGAACGAATTGGTCGACGAGGAGCGTCGTCTACTGGAAGTACTTTCTATCAGAGAACTTCGACACACTGGTAGTACTGTTGCTACGCAGACTCGATTGTATAGCACTAGCTCTCGACCAATCCGGGCGGCCCGGGGTCTTAGAGAGTCGCATTCACTAGTCTCTCCGGCAAAGGATATGGTGGACGATAGCAATACGGCTGGAAAGGAAGGGCCTAGCAACGATGTGCCAATAAACCCAGAGATAACGACGCCTGCAGAGGACGCTGAAATCGACGCGTCGCCCGCTCAGGCTACTGAATCAACCCTGAAAGACGTCAATGACGAGGAAGTCGAGAATATAGAATATGATTCCATGGATAATTTTGCAGACATAAACAATGTCATACCACGACCAGAGCCGGATTTCATATGGGAGCGCTCTAGTATAACTCGAATAAAGGCTATTCAGAAACTGGCCGTGCAACAACTCGTCTACCGATTACTGGTGCGACCGGCTATTGTTCATGATTACTCAGGCCTGCCCGTGGACTATCAGATGGACGATGCGCTTAACCGCACGCCGAGCAATTTACTTCGTCGGCTTCAGGCTGTACGGCGTCGGCTGTACTCGCTGAAATATATCAAGGATTCGCCGTATGACGATCTTATGCAAAACCTTGGAATTGAAGAGGTAGACGTTATGCGTCGGTATGTGCGAGAACGCTATGATGCATTTCTCAAACAAGATATCCAACAATATTTGAGTGGCAAACTATCCCTTCAGAAACTCCTGATGCAAGTCGCGGACAACTTATTGTCCTGTGAGGAACCCGATCGCCCCTTCGCGTTTGCACTTCTCATATCTGCCTTTAGCAGAACACATCAAAACGACTTGGCTGATTTGGTGCTGAAATGCTTGATCCCGAATCTGTTCCAGCTTAGCACACCATTGATCATCGATATTATCACACACTTCCGAAAGACCAAAAATCTCAAGGACTTCGATCTATTCCTTCAAATGCTCAGGGGTGAAGGCGGCTATCATGTCAATCTCCGAAAGACGTGGCAAAAGAAGACTGTGAATGGAATTACAATCACAGTACCTCCTATGAGCAGCTTCAACCCTATCATTCTCACCAGTGTTATCACAGCCACTCTTCGCTTTGATCAACCGGAGAAAGCAGAGGCATACATGCACGTCGCTCGTGCTAATGGATTTGTTGATAATTTTGCTACCTTGTCCGCGTTCTTGCGATTCTACTCTGTTCGCAAGCATTACAAGAGTGGTCTGTCTACTCTTTCAAGAGCATTGACCTTCATCGTCTCATCTTCAGATCTTGAAGAATCGCGCATCGCCCGACTCATCCTATATATGGCCGATTTCTGCGCTTGTTGTGGTCGAGATGACCTGTTTTCCACATTGGTCCATGCTGCCGTACAAAGCGGGTTCGACTGCAACCATGCTCAAAGACCAGGAGCGTCCACATCTTACTTGGCCGCCAGTTATAGGCGATGGCGACAAACACAAGAGAAGCTCGCAATTGAAGGCCCCGAGCAGCAGCAGGAGGAACGACCACTGTCGGAAAAATGTGCCACCTTTGTCGCTCTAACCGGCGAAAGAATAAGTCAGTTGCAGCGGGAAGCACATGGCGTCAATTCCACAGTATCAACGACACATCTCTACCATGAACTTCAAGATGCTCACAGGAGGCTGACACATGCCGGCCTACAACAAGCCGATTTCGACAACAGCAACAGCAAAAGACCACACACATCATCAGATCAACCGGATTCGAGCGAGCTTAAGAGTCTGCGATCACAATTAGAAGTCTTGTATTTGCGCATAGAACAGCTCAGTTCGTCGAATAGCGGGCCTGTTGTTGCGAAGAATGAAACGCAAGAACGTGAATTGAATGCATCTTCTACTTCATAGTGGCTGGCTGATATGTATGATATGATTATAATATAATATATATATACTTGGATAGACAGTCTAGCCTAGCTAGTTGCATGCTGTGTATAATAGAACCTGCCACAATTTATCACGATGGGCCTCTTTTCTTTTCTATCTACATGTACATGTTATCTAGACATAACCAAACAATCGACGATAAGACGAGTATAAACAAATGGAAAGTCCGTTCAAGAAACATGGTAAATTGCTGGATATCTATCTCTCTTAATTTTACATTAGTCTAATTTCTACCGCCTACTGCTTCTCATTTTTTCTTTGCGAGCCAGTCTCTCGCTCGCTCGCAAAAGGGCCGAGCGGATATCGCCCTTGGGGAAAGATGTAATGTCGTAGTAAATCGGCGAGATTTCCTAGAAAAAGAAACCCCGTTAGAAGTGTGAAAATATATATATATATATATAGGGAGGGAGGGGAGAGGTGCATACCAAAAGCCACTCCGGTTTCACAGCCGTGATTGTGCGGATATAATTCTTCGTAGTGAGGACAAACTCGTTATAGAGCACCCATTCGGCATCATGGCTCAGCACCGTGCTTGGGTGGAGGAGCACATGCTGGTTGTCCTTGACGGTGTTGTACATGCTCTTGCCGGTGCTCTCCTTTTTGGCGACTTGCATGAAAAATCCGGCTACCAAGGCACGCCGGATGTTCTCGTAGTACTTCTTGTCCTCAAATGGAGTCGAGACGAGCTCGACCTCTTCACGTTCCATGATGCGTAGAAGCTGGAGACGAACGTTGTCTGCGGATTGGAGGGCGCGGAGGGAGAGGAAGTGGTTGTGACACCATTGCTTGGGGTCGCTTTGAGCCTCGGGGCCTTTGAACGCGTGATACACGTTTAGTAGTGTGAGGTGGTCACCGTCGGGATGCGCAAAAAGGTCTTTCATCTCGTCTGCTCGCTTGCGTTGTGCGTGAGGGCGTACGAAGACTTGGGGTACCGAGAGTAGTGCGGTTATTGACAGGATTTCATTCGAGCAATAGAACTCTGGCGAAGAGACTAGCATCACCGCCAGTGCCGGGTCTAGAGGGAATTCAGATGCGAGACGTCCAAGAGCTGTCAAATCTCCTTCATCGTCAAGACAAGCTAGATAGTTGAGTTCTTCCAAGGCTCTCATTAGGGTCTCCGGGGCCGGCGGGTCCATTAAATCGAAATGCACCAAGTCGTCGATGCCTAATTTCTTGAGCTCCAGGACGGTGGAGGAAAGGTTCGACCGGAGAATTTCCGGGTACGTCTGATCAATGAGCTCCTTCTTGAATGCCGCCTCGGTATACAGACGGAAGCATTTTCCAGGACGAGTACGACCAGCACGACCAGCTCTCTGTTGCGCGGATGCTTTGGAAATTGGGGATACAAGCAAGGACTCAACTCGGATACGCGGGTTGTAGACATTCTGCTTGGAAAAACCTGGGTCCACCACATAGACTATACCATCGATTGTAAGGGACGTTTCTGCAATATTGGTAGACACTATGACTTTGCGACCAGCCCGACCACCGGGTCTCCGGGCGCTGGGGGCCGGTTCGAAAATGCGCTGTTGCATGTGCGGTGGCAGACTGCCATACAATGGATACACCTTCATTGGGCCCGCATCCGCCTCCCTTACCATCTCGTCCGCTTCGAGAGATATCTTCCTCACTGCATCTTCAATTTCTTCTTCGCCCGTCAAGAACACTAGAATGTCTCCGTCGGGTTCAGTGGCGTGGATTTGCAGGACTGTACGAATGGCAGCCTCTACATAGTCTTGCTCTGGCTCGGGGGTATAAAAGATTTCCACGGGATGGGTTCTTCCAGGGACTGCAAGCAGTGGGGCATCGTTGAAATACCGTTGGAATTTCTGGGCATCCAGCGTGGCAGACATGATGATGATCTTCAAATCCGGTCGTCGTTGAACTACCTCTTTGAGCAATCCCATCAAGATATCGGTAGACATTGTACGCTCGTGCGCCTCGTCCAGAATAATCGTGCTGTAGCGCTGGAGGTCGTGATCGTTCATAGCTTCTCGGAGAAGCATACCATCGGTCATATACTTAAGAATAGTCTTTGGGCTAGTCATATCCTCGAAACGAATGCTATAACCGACCTCTTCGCCCAACTTCACATCCATTTCCGCGGCGACACGCTGCGCGACAGACATTGCAGCCACTCGACGTGGTTGGGTACACGCGACCATCTTGCGCTGGGTTTGTGGAAGATCATCGAAAAGCACGAACTGCGGAATCTGCGTCGTTTTTCCAGAACCAGTCTCACCAACAAAGACTAGAATTTGAGACTGTTGATAGAGTTGCAGAAATTCGTCTCTATATTGTAGCGACATCAAATTAGCCTAATCAATCCTCAGTCTTCTAAGGAGATCCTTGCTTACCTCTGCGCATGGACGGGCAAATTTCGCCGAGTCTTCAAGATGGAAAAATACGTCGATGAGAAAGGCTTGTCATTGAAAGGATTGATTTCCGCATCCTCCGCAACCTGGGCAAGAGCAGCAGTGGTCTGATGCCTTTTAAAGCCAGCAAACGCACTATTATTCGAGCTGCCGTTCCCATTCTGTTCGGGGTACATGTGGGCGAGGTACGGATTGCTGCGGGGATCCATTTCTGCGGTTTCCTTCTTCTGCCGCTTCGCACGCGAGTTGTCTGTGGCTTCAGGACGTCTATCAACCATAGTGAAGATCGCGGAGGCTCAATTCAGCTTGGAACAAGTGCGCGGCTGGCGCGAACGAGGAGCTCTGTGGATGGCGCCGCTGTGAAACGAGCCGATGTCGTCGAGCATGGGGAAGAAAGAAGGGGAGAAAAAAAAAGTCGCTGGATAAGGCCGCCAACCGCCACAGCTGCTTATCGCGGTCACCGCCTGCCTGATCGGGTAAGAAGCCAGGCACCCCTGCGGGATATCCCCAGAATAATTATTTGCGTCTATTTACCCCCTCCCTTCGCACAACAACCCAGGATCGCACAGCCAGGGCTCTTCTGGTTCGCAATCCCAGGCCTGCATTCGGCTCGCTCTCGATCCCTTCCATTTCATCCCTCTTTCTCCTTGAATTGCGCTCTGCCGGCACTCTGAAAGGAAATTCCTCACCATGTCAACTCGGTAGCGTCAATCAAGTATCAATCAATATTTATTCTAAGAACACTTGTCCACATAACTCTATGATTTGCTTCTTACTTCGGTCTGTTTGAATTTATATCTGCACAAATTATACAATATACAGCAAACCAATCCGAGAGTCTTCCATCTCGTGCCTGGTAGACCCCATATCTTGACTCTTTGGGAACGTCTAGCCACGCTCAAAAAATCGACTCCGGCGCCATGCAGACCGTCCCAGAGACCGAGGATCCGGTCTATTCTTTCTGTATAGGCCAGCATGAAAGCAATCGTCAGCTGCCTGTAAGCTCTCAGGCTATTCATTACGCTCACGCCAGTAATGTATGTTCTATCTCTTGCTTGGTTACCACCGGTGTCAGTTGGAGTAGCTAATTCTCTTTCTTTAGTATGACATGCTGACTACGCCAATAACCACGTCGCATTTTCATTCACGCGTTTTGTCGTTGCTCTCGTCTCATCTAGCTTCGCTAGATCCTCCGGACTACGATGCAGTTGGCACCCGAGGAACTTCTTATAACACAAAAGCCGTGACAATTCCTCCTCTAACCCCAGACGATACGCCTCTAACTCCCAATGAGTCAATCAGCCAGGTGGTTGGAATCACCAGCTCCTGGATCGATCTTTGCTCACCGGATCCTTTGATAGCGGAGGTTTCTCGCCAGGTATTAATGCTGGAGGTTGCCTATGCGGCATTCTGTGGCATTAGCTATCTCATCATTCCAGGTCCGAAACTTCAGCATGGTGGTCTTCACTCTGAAGGCTTGATCTACTATGCGAGAGCTATACAAGAGGCCTTAAACATAGCCCCTTATATTCAGTTCCACATCTGGCTGGAAATGGTCGATAATCCGGATTTGGAGGCATCTGAGATGGGTGACTTGGCTCCATTTGTAAGAAACGAGTTTCTGGAGCCAAGCGAAGATCGACCTGCGAAGCTTGATCTCTTTGGAACCTGGGATGCATGGGAGATTATTAGAACTACCTGCAAACACCACTCAAGATTGCTCGTCGGTAAGAATAACATAGACTATTTCTTCTCTTTTACGAAAGTGTACCTTCTAATGAGTATGCACAGCTTTGGCGCTTCCAAAACATCTTCCGGTCCTGCCAGTTCAGACTCGCTGGTATTCGGAGCCTGTACACATGCTGACAATCGAAGGGACGACGTTTATCAAAAACCCGAAAGGCTATCCTGTTCTATCCAAGGGCCATCAATCGCTTATTGCTAGGTTTATGCGTCTTCGTACACCACCTTGGATCCTGCTTTGTGACGTTGGACCCATCCCTGGCTTGGAGAACGATGACGAATCTCAGTCAGTTGCTTCTGCTGCTGCTGCTGATAAAGTGGATTTTCCTACTATAGCACAGACAATGTCTCAAGGGAAGAAGCACCAGGACCCTACTCCCCAACTGTCCTACATGAGGAATCTGCAACAACGACAACCACCCCGCACTCCTATTGAGCGGTTCGGCACCGGATATCAGGATTACTTACAGGCACCCTTGCAACCGTTGACCGTCAACTTGGAGAGCATTACTTACGAAGTATTCGAGAAAGATCCCATCAAATATGCATGGTATGAACGAGCCGTTGCGAAAGCTCTAAACGATTGGATGGAGCAAAAGAAGCCTACGTCAGGTCCGGATGGAAAAGTCGTCGTTGCTGTTGTAGGTGCAGGACGCGGTCCTTTGGTGACACGGGCCCTTCGTGCAAGCGCTGAGACCGGCGTCAAGATTGAGATGTGGGTGGTTGAAAAGAATCCCAATGCTTTTGTTCTGCTCCAGCGACATAACGAGACTATCTGGGACGGGGCTGTCAATCTCGTCAAGTCGGACATGCGAAGCTGGAAAGGGCCTCATAGGGGAAATACGGACAGTTCTCAGTCACTAGATGCAGCATCCGTCAAACATACACCCATCGACATCCTTATTTCTGAGCTCTTGGGCTCTTTTGGAGACAATGAGCTTTCTCCTGAATGCTTAGATGGCGTGACTCATTTGCTCAACCCCGGACATGGCATATCTATCCCTTCTTCTTACTCGGCACATCTGACGCCCATTGCCGCACCGAAGCTCTATGCCGACATATGCGGACAACGAACCTCCAACCCTGCAGCACCCGAAACTCCATACGTAGTCATGCTACACGCAATTGACTATCTATCGACAACCTCCTCTCCAGCATCAGCAACTGTACCTACATCTCACTTAGGCAGCAGCATTGGTAGCAACCATAGCGCATCAGGAGGCGGTGTGAGGAATTCCGCTGTAACTCCGCCTCCAGTCTTCGAACCTCCAGTGCCCATCGTCCATCCGGCCTGGTCTTTTTCTCACCACAACCCCAACATTCCCACCCAGCCAGCAAGTTCGTCGACGATACCCAATGAACACAACGTTCGCCAAACCCGTCTTTCGTTCCCGTGCCAGCATCGCGGCGTCTGCCACGGGTTAGCCGGGTATTTCGAGACAGTGCTGTATGACGACGTTGAGCTATCCACTAATCCAGTGACGATGGAAACCAAAAGTTCTGGCATGATAAGCTGGTTTCCCATATTCTTTCCTTTAAAGGTACTGCTTCTCTCTATCTTTCTAGATAGAAACTTCCCTTAGCCCTCCCGCAGAATATCAAACTAACAAAATATAGACACCACTCTATATCCCCGACGGCGGCGAAATCGTCGTAACCATGTACCGACAAACCGACAATCGCAAAGTTTGGTACGAATGGATGGTAGAAGTATTCCGACTAGAGCCGCGCACGTCAGCAGCAGCAGCAGCAGAAAATTCTTCAAGCCCACAGCGAACTGGTACGCCTCCAGTAGCAGTAGTGATGAGTGGCGCAAACAATAGATACAAAACTGCTGCTACTACTACTGCTAGATTACAGAACAATAACAGCAGCAGCAGTGGTAGTAATGGATATCGCCGAATCCGTGTCGGGATGAGTGAGATGCATTCTAGTATCAAGGATGGGTGTCTAATGTGATTGATTGATTGATTCGTTGGATTGAATAAAATTACTGTCAGTAGATATCTGATGAAGTTTGAAGATAAAGAAAGAAACGAAAAAGGAGTTGGTTTTCTTTTGCGATATATACATCTAATCTAAAACCATGGAATTTCAAATCCTTCTACTGCACCGTCTGTGTCGTGTGACCATAATTAAGATACCATTCTAATTTAACTATTTTATAAGCCGTAACATCACTTTTAAGGCTTATGACTGACTGACGACTATGGATTCGCTTTGTCGAGCGTGCTAATATCAGCGGGTGGTTGAATCAATGTCTGGCTCGAAGATGCCTGTGCCATGGTTATGGGAGAGTCGAAACTGGAGGGCGGGGCCTCTGTCAATCCCTTTCTGATGGCGAGGACCGAGTCGACAATGACGGCATCAATGCCATTCGTTACTTGAAGCTGTTTTTCATGATTTATTAGTCTTCAATTTCTTTTCCTAGTCATCAGCGGTTCGTGGACTTACCTTGGCATTGTCCGGGTTATTGTTTTGCGTTCCGTACGAAACACACACTAGTCCGGACTCCTTCACGACACGCACAAGTCGTGGACAAAGCACAAATGGCTCTGCAGTGGAGACGACTCCTAGCAGGTTCCAGCGAGATGCGAATCGAATAGCTTCCTGGAGACTACTAGCACGAATGTCACCAACAGGACTGCTGCCGGCATCAGTCAAGAAGAGGACGGGGATCGAAGGCTGCTTGAAGGAAAGAAGGAGACAGATGTCGGGGTTGAAACTGGAAAATATCATATTGCGTCCTTCGCCGAGCTCGTAAACTTTGTTAAGAACGGTGTCTACAAAGGAGTTGACTTCGACCGCGTAAGTGTCCATCTCTTCTTCCTCACTTTCGTACAGTGAAGGATACTCTGTTAAGCAAATGAGTTAAGAACATCTTAATACTTAGAATGGCTAGGAAGACTGAACTTACTCATTTCGATATTAAATCCAACAGACTTTGGAAGCTTTTTGAAAAGCTCCTCCAAAGTAGCGAACGGTGCTTGGATATGGCTACCACGAGTATTACCCTTGAAACCTTTGTTTTTGAAGTCACGCGTATGTTTCATCTTCTCGCTGATCCCTGACGGATCAAAAAGAGATTCGCCAACAGACATCGCACGCGGACGTTGTGATGGGCTATCAGTGGGATCAAGCGCTGGTGAATGAGTATTGCTAAGATGGAGGAACTTTTCGAACTTGTTAGCTGACAGTAACTAAGAAAGAAAATCAGAGCCCAGGAGAACATACTTGTTCTAGAGTCAAAGTGTGAACTGGAGCATCAATTCCCGTCTCGCTAACAAGGAAGTCGTGATAGATAACAGGAACGTGGTCTTTGGTGAGTTGTACATCTATGTCGATAGTTTAGTATAATTATATAAAATACGATTTAAACGGCGTGTAAATTGTAATGCTTACCAAACTAACAAAAAGTCAGTGATGCTAGTTGAAAGGGGAAATGTTTTGGATTGCAAAACTTACCTCGACATATGAAGCGCCCAAATTCGCCGCAGCGATGAATGACTTTAATCTTACAGTCAGGAGCAGCACTAAACCGTATAGAAGATGCTTCGCTTACCTGAACAGTGTTCTCTCCCAATTGAAGAGACTTGCGACTTGCAAAGTTCTTACCGAGACCTTGCGGACTGAGTTAGATTTTCCGTCGTTGATATCTAATGAAAATGGAACCTACCTCGATGTCCAATTACCATAGGCGCTGTGACGGTCTTCCAGTAAGTTTGGTCGTGTTTGAGGGACATTTTCGGGTGTTTAAAGGGAGTGATGACAAGAAAATTGAAAGTCAAAGTCCCAATCACTTCAAGAGTGTTGGCAGCTACGACTGGTACCGTTATGTCGCCTTGCAAGCTAATGCGGTTGGAACCAATAGATGGTCTGATGGTAGAAAGCAATGCTACTCCTCGTCCCACAATTTGATTCGTAGTCCCTGCATAAGTAGGAACAAGATCGAACAGGATCCTCACGTTGCTGATTTCCTTCGAATAGAAAGTAATTGGTTCCGTAGCAATGTTATCTTGGACCGGAAGATCGATTATTTCTGGCTCCCCGTGAGCACCGCTTGCAGAAATAACCACTGAGAGTGCAGTATCGAGCTGTGTAGAGTGGGCGCTGGTGATGGGTATACGGTCTAGGCTCACAGGGGGAGTAGTCTTTCGTATATCCATTGTGCCCAGACTGACCAGGATCATGCTCTCGTCGGTAAGATACCGATGTCCAAAAGTCTTCAAAGGATCAAGAGCGCGCGATCCATAAGTAGGCGTCCCACTGGAGATGTTGCTGTTATTGGATTTGCGCTCGGTCAGTGATCCTAGAGGAGGCGAAGAAGTAGGGGCTGGGATGGTCACGGAAATGTCATTTTCCGAGAGATCTGGAGCGGGTGTGACTTCTGCTAGACGCTTAGCAATTTGTATATGACCTCGAAGAGCTGCATGCTCTTTGGCAGTCCAGCCGGATGAGTCGGGCCTCTCCAAATCGGCGCCTGCCTTGATGAGCAAGTCGGTAACAGCCAAAGAACCATCCACACAAGCGATGAAGAGGGGTGTCCATGAATAAGTGGTTTCTGCTAATTCAGTATTGGCTTTCTGATCTGCAGTTCCCTCTAAGAGAATTTTTGCACACTGGCTATGATTGAATCGAGCGGCGACGTGTAGAGCTGTTTCGCCCTGCTCGTCTTGGTAGTTGATATCGACACCAGCCTCGACGAGCAACTGGACAATGTCAACAAAGTTTGCTTTGACCGCCATAGCCAGAGCAGCACTGGACTTTGAAATTTGTTTTCTAACTGTGGTCTTGGCCCCGTCTGAGGCTCCCTCTTCAGCTTCCAGAAGAGCCCGGGTGGTCAATGGATGTCCACCTACGACACTGAGATGCAGAGGAGCCCAGCCCTCATGATCTTGCCAATTTGGCCCGTCTATACCTTGTGATACATCGAATAGATCCCATTGCTTTAGGTGCTCGATGATGATTTCACAGACGACTCTGAACCCGTACTGAGCGCCATAGTGCAGAGGAGTTCTGCCGGATATATCTTTGGCTAAAAGGTCGCGTTTCTGATTGGGTCGAAGCGAATCTAATAGGTATTGCAGAATAGCAACCGACTCGTCATCTCTAGTCAATAGTTGTTTCTGATTGGCTTCCTTCACGACGTTTCGCGGAGGCTGTAAGCTTGGGGCGGCAGCAGGTGTGATGTAAGTAGTTTCCTCAGGGTATTCTAGTGTAATGGTTGCAGATGTCTCGGAATCTGAGGTAGTCTGAGCTCTACCAATGGAGATTACAAGTCGATGAATACAATTCCGTTTGTTGATATCGTCGTCTTCTTCCAATGAATCAATCTCCTTCAGTAAAGTATCGATGGAGGATTTAGCCCTACAGGCAATTGCGCGCTGTAAAAGATTTTTCTGAACCATTGGATAGACAAGCTCTCCTTGTTCATCAGAGAAGGCCTTTAGACTTCCGAGGAGCTCCAACAAGGCAGAGGTATCATCTTTGCGGAGTGCTTCGTCAACGGCCATGAGCAGGCTGGGCGGCAGGTTCAAGTTTGGCCGAGACCGAACTCTCGACAGTGTCAAAGACTTGGTAGAGCTGGCATCATCTGGAAGTTTGCGGTCACCCAGGACGGAGAGCCACTCATTAATCTTGGTGGTTGCTTGCGTAAGTTGGGCATTTGTTGCGAACGGTGAAGGATCAACCTTTGCCGCGAGGTATCTCTTCTGCGCTGCGGCGACAGGGATTTTCTTGTCAAGTTTCTTGGTGATTTTAATAAAGCCACGACGGTTGACTTCGCCATACCACTGAAGTTTACGTAGCTGTCCACGAAGCTCAAGCAAAGCAGTGACGAGGTCTCCAATATCTTCGGCGTCGAGGACCTGTCTGGCAGCCAAGGTATTTCCAAAGCGATCCTCCAATATCTTGAGCCGGCGCGTAAAGTCCGACAGCTTTTTGTTATAGAAATGGTCTACATCCTCGAGCGTTCTATCGAGGGAGTAGAAAAAACCTAGGGGCAAGGCAAACACCACGGTTAGATTGGGTATATCCAAGCGGAGAAAAATGAAACAAAATCAAATCGAGCACAAAGACAGAGCAATTGATTGACGAAGGTACTTACCAACAAGGTCGACATCGGTCTCTGTCTTCTGGCTCTCAACGGCGGATTTGATGAGCTGCTTCAGAGCCTTGTAGTTGATATACGAAGAGCTCCACTCGGGGACGACGTTTCGCGGGAGATTGCGACCGAACTTCATCTTGAATAGAACCGACCGCAGACCGGTTCCCGCGGTAGATGAGAGAAAGTCGAAATCCTCGTCGAACAAGCAAGCAAGCAAGCAAGCCTCTTAGGGCTAGGATAGAGATGATGACTCTGCGGAAGGAAAGCGGGGCCCAAACGATACCCACACAGAGCCAGCTGGATGGAGAGCGAGAAAGAAAATCACAAAACGACAGCAACAGAGGAAAGGGAAACGGAGGCACCAGGGACAAGTGCGAGTTGAAGGTCCATCTGAGCTAAACGACCTGCACTTTTTCTCTCTGGTGAAAGCCGGGGGAGAGCAGAGACTTTTCTTTTTTCTTTTTGGGCGAGGTGGACACGATTTGCGGGCCTCGGGAGGAGCTTGTCGACTAGCTAGCTATCGATCAGTCAATCTGGACCAAGCATCGCAATCACGTGTGGAGCAGCATTTTGCAGGGGTTAAACGAGAGAGTTCCAGGCTCGTTGTGGACTTCGTATGGGCGGTCGAGCTTACCAAATGGCGGATGTGAGTGGTGCCAGTTGGTAACCAAATAGACAGGTCCGTTACGCCATAGCTGTGAATTCATGAACCGGAAGGCCGGGCATCCAATGGTCGACGAGGAGACCCTCTCGAGGAGCTGTGGGCTCAAACGACTCGCTGGTCAGTGACGCTCGGTGGAGTTGTCAGAGCGATAAATCATGTCTTAAGACTTTGCGATGCGGAGCTGATCGTTGGATGGCGAAGCTTCGGGGCAAGTGCCAATTGGCGGCCCGTTAGCAGGACATCAAGGCGGTGAGCGCTTTTTGCCCGGTAAATAAAACAATGCTCCATTTGCACATACATGATCATAATATCATTAATTAGTTAGCTAGTTCATTCATGATTCCATGAACTCATTGACTGTTTTGTCGTAAAAAGTGGCTCGAAAATATATAAGGTTACAAAAGCGGCTTCATTTCAGTCATGTAAAATCGAGTCCCCGTGGTAACAAAAACCCCCCAAAACGCCCTTGTCCTCGCCGTCATAGATCTAAAAGAATAAGAAAAAGAAGAAAAAGCAAAGGAAAAAAAAAAAAGAAAAAAAAAGGACAGGAAGTCGGCAATTAGATGGATGAGCAGAGTCGATTACCGAAGATCTGGAAAAGTTGCATGTATCAGACGAAGTCTAGGCTGCGCTTTGCTCCACTAACGGCTTCAGTGCCTCCACCCCGGCTTGCAAGATAGCCGGGTTAGAAGAACGTTTGAGACAGCTTTTGAGAATGTCAATGCCGTCTCCCTGTTTGACAGCGTTGCGAGCACGGGTACCCATGTCACCGGAAGCGATGCAAGTCAGGTTGCGAATGGAGACTATTCCTCGATGGACAAGGTCGTCGTTGCTCTCTTGGCAGAGTCCGAGCAAGAGATTGACACCGCGTGGTCGGTCCAACACCGCAGCAATTGCAGCATTGTATTCTGTTAGCATCGCTAGAGCCCCTCCGGCTGCTCTTCGTGTAGCAACATCGTCGACGTCTGTTAGAGCAAGAAGCAGATGTAAGCGTTGGCCGGCACGTTTTGACCCATCTGCAAATTTCACAATGCCTGCTTCGCACGTCATCAAGTTACAGACTAGCTCACACGCAGCGCGTTGAATGAATGTGTTGTTTGACAATAGTAGATCTTCAAGAACATCCCATGCTTGCCGTACAATAGCTTCGGCTGCTGTACTATCCGGAGATGAAGCAAGATTTGTAAGGGCCAGCAGACATTCGAACACAGGGAGGAGATCCCGTGGTTGTTCTGCAGCGAATGGAACTGTTGGAGGACTGAGAAGTGCAACCAAAGGCCGGATGGCAGACGTAATCTGTGGGAACCCAGAAAAAGGAAAGACGTGGGATGGATTAACAGAAATGAGAATGCGAGCTAGGGCAAGCGACGCATTGTGTGTGGTTTCGTTGAACGTAGGGGTAGGGCTACCGTTCTTGGGACCCAAAATGGATAGTAATAGCTTGACTGCTCCTTGTTGGGCGAGTTTGCCCCTTGACTTGGCATTCTTTGACAAAGACAGAACAATTTTGCTCGTGAGATCATGAATTGACTTCAAACTTGCTTTACCGCAGTCCACCAGGAGGGGCATGATATTGGCTTCAATAAGTGCTGCACAGCGTCCCGTCACATGCTGGTCATCTTCCAGTTCATTGGGCGTCGAAGGGTTCTTGGATGCTTCAGCATACGCTTTCAACTCCGACATCTTCTTCTGTTCTTCCGACAAATTCGGCAAGTATCTCGTAATGTTGGCAATTATCATGAGTCCTCCATATAATAGAGTGGTATCTTCCAAATTCGAAGTCAGAACCTGAAAAAGACCCTTTAGAAAAACCGGATCGTACGCCAGCTGTTCTTTAACATCGGGCTTGACTGAGGAAAACGCCAACCCTTCTATAGGATTGTGAACATTGGTGACTTTGTGGTCTGACATTTGTCCCTTGAAACGATTAACCAGCTCCTGGACACTAGACTCATTGTCCTCGTGCGTTTTGGCAGCGGATTCGGAGCTTCCTTGCTTCTCGGATGTCCTCACTTTTGCTAGGACAACAGCGGCTAGCTCGGAGCTCGCATCGGTACCATTAGAGAGAATATGGGATAGCCAGTCACCACATTCCTTGCTTATTGCTTCGCGGCAAGCTCGGTCCAGACATGCGGCATTAAACAGTTCCAAAAGAGCCAGTTCGACTTTGGAAGACTTTGCCTCACGATGGAGGAGAGGCACAATGGACTGTAGGAAGCCTTCCGTCAAGAGAAGAGACGAGGTGAGTGATGGGATGATTGGGAAAACCGCGGCAGCAGCAGAAAAGGCGACAATTAAATCGTCGTTTCGGGCTTTTGCAACCTTGGCTGTAATCAGCTGTGAGAAGAGTTTTTGTCCAACTTCTTTGGATGCTTCAAGGTATTTAGCCGTAGCTAGAGTCGCTTGACTTCGGACGTCAAGAGGGAGCCTGTAATCCAGTGATGCTAAAATCACGTCGAAGCCTTCATCGTCTATCAGATGTTGCAGTTTCGCTGCGTCGACGGCTAAAAGTCTAGTTATCCCCTTAAGAGAGCGGCCGTCCTGGTCGTGGCCTGACTCCATCAATTTTGCGATAAAGAGTTGGAACAGCTCACTCTCACAGTGCGATCGAACAGCTTCTGACGGCCATAGGGTTGGGTCGAGCACAACGGTATCCAGACAAACCACTGCATTGTCACCTCTATCGTAAATCTCGTCGAAAAAAGTGGTAACGGAAACCTGGAGGCGTGAAGCAAAGAAGCGCCGCACGCTGACAGTGTGTCTAACCAAGCCAGAGATGATTTCATCCTGAATGGGGGAGAGTGACTCGGCGTTCTTAGCTAGAATGAGGTTAAGGCATTCTAACGAGACGTCTTCAGGAGGTTTGGATCCATCCGCGTGCAGGAAACGAGCAGCATCCTTTCCGGCGTCTTCATGCTTTCCAGTCGCGTATTTTTGACATAAATGTAAGAGAGGATGGCCAGTTTCTTCCTCGCCGCGAATTTTGAGAAAGGCCGCTTTTACTTCGGGATTCTCAGGTGCAAGGGAGAGGGCTTCACGGAGGTTTCTCGATGCGGCCTGGGGAAGGCAGAAACAACAGGCGTTAGTCAAACATCATTGGGATGGATAATATTAGTGCTATTCAGCATCCGGTATACGCACCTCTTTGTGGCCGGCATCGAGCAACTCGACAGCTTCACGGCATAGTTTGACGGCGCGGTCTTGGACGTTGGGGCCCACCATTTCAACCACGACCGCCGAGCCGCAAGACAATATTTTTTTTCTTTTGTTTTGGGGGGGGGTTTCCCTTTGCTAGTTAGCTATGACAGCAGCGAAGTGTGAGATTGAAAATAGAGGTAGGATGAGGAGCTGAATTGGACACAGAAGTCGGCGTCGGAAGGCGCGGGCGAAAAGGCAAGTGGGTTGGCTGTGTCTGATCTAGTTACGCCGTCGCATTCATAGCAGCAGCAGTAACTAGTAAGCAAGTGGATTTGCATATGCAGGCATCAACGACATAGTGCATATTGGGGCGATCCTGTCAGATGCGAGTGATTCCCGGTACGTAAAGTGGAATGGCTGTTCTTTTCTCCCAGGAGAGAAGCAGCAAAAGAAATATTCTAGTCCGGTTGGGATAATTACTAATGTACGGGATGGTACGCCAATACCGGGGGCTGCCCAATGGCAGGGCGGGCTGAAAATTACGGGTGTACGGCGCAGCGGAGGGCGGCATACTAGCGGTAATTATGTCGTTATCTGCAGCTGCCCCTCCTTTATCGGACGGTCGGACGCCGAAGCTTCTTTCTTTCCTCTTCTGCATGTGAATGCACAATTTCAATATATTTATGACCGGAAGGCATCGTCTGTAGCACTCGTCCTTCTGTTACATACCACCAGAGAGCGAATCTGAGCGAGCGTCTGGGACACGTTCCGTGCTTGGCAGTGCCACCAAGGGAAAGAGCAAAGCTATCCGAATTAGGAAGGCTTGGCGCGTGAGTCAGCATGTCACATGATCACGCGGCTGGGGCGGTCTGCTTGCTGCACGCCGTCCGTTCTTGCTTCAACTTCAACTCGCGCACTAACTGCAGATCGTCGTTCAGTGCTCTCTCAGGCTTTGCTCACTGCTAGACAGTGCTGGTTCAACTGAACCTCCCTTTTCTGTCCATGATGCGCCCTACTCTCCTCACGCTCTGACGATGAACGCCGTAGATGCCTCGGAGCATTATGAAAATGTTGCCAGTGGTGAGTCGAGTGCTTTTGTCTCGGCGAGCGTGATGACTAAGTACTTTTGTTTTTTATTTTTGTGAATACAGAACCAGCCCCATCGCTCCTTGCAATCGTTCTCGACATAAATCCTCATGCATGGGCATTGCTTGAGGAACAGCTGCCCTTTTCCAAGGCCCTAGCCAATCTTCTGGTGTTTATCAACGCGCATCTGGCATGCAACTACACAAATGAGGTTGCGGTGATAGCGTCCCATAGCCAGCGTGCGGCTTGGCTCTATCCTTCGCACAACCAGCAGAAGCCCTCGCCCAATCTGTTGGATGCTGATGGGGACGTTGAAATGAATGGCCATGCTCCCCGGTCTTCGAATAATAACAACATGTACCGCCCCTTTGGAATTGTCGAGGAACAAGTCACCGAGAATGTGAGAGAGCTTCTGGCATCTACGGACGCAGCTGATGTGAGCGCCACATCGACCATGATGGCTGGGGCCTTGACCTTGGCACTTAGCCACATCAACCGCCGGACTATGACATGGGCGGAAACACACGGCAACAGCAACATCGATACGTCCAACGCGCCTACAGGGTCATCGACAACGAGCGGTAGTGTCAGCCTGGGACTCCAGAGCCGGATTTTGATTGTTTCCGTCAGCAGCTCCACGGACTCGGCGCACCAATATATTCCCATTATGAACAGTATTTTTGCATGCCAGCGTCTGCATATTCCTATCGACGTCTGCAAACTGAGCGGTGATGCTGTGTTCTTGCAGCAAGCGTCGGATGCGACGCGAGGAGTCTACATGTCTCTAAAGGAACCTCGAGGACTGCTGCAGTACCTCATGATGGCGTTCCTTCCCGATCAGCGGTCTCGCAAGCACCTCATTTTGCCGTCCCGAGTCGACGTTGATTTCCGGGCGGCTTGCTTCTGTCATCGGCGCGTGGTCAACATCGGGTGGGTGTGCTCGATCTGCCTCAGCATATTCTGCGAGCCGCCAGAGAATGGCGACTGCCTGACATGTGGCACACACTTGGAGATCGGGGAATACGAGTTAAGGCCGGCAGTGCTGGCAAAGAAAAGAAAGAAAAGGAAAACACGCTTGAACGGGTCCGCGACACCGACGCCGACGCCGACGCCGACAGCCTAGACAGCTAGTTCCAGTAGAACGAAATAAAAAGCAATGATCGTCTGATAGCCAGTCAGTTGGACATGTCCTGTCTACGCCTAGGGTGGGGGTTCGCCCAATCATGTGTATGCATGCGCAGCTCAGCTCTCTACTCGACACGTATCTCTGCGTCGCCTCAGAAATAACATAAATAGCGGGGTATCCGCCTCTCTTCCCCTCACCAAGACATCAACCTCTCACCCATCAACCACAACGAGACAAACATAATGTACGTTTGTGTCGCCACCAGCTGCGATCATCTACTAACAATGTTTATAGCGAATAAAAACCTTACCTCACTTCGTACCATCAATATGGCCCACGTTTCGTGCCCCAAGTGCGGCACTGCCATTGCAGGCGAGACCAAGAGCTGCGGATCATGCGGCGCTGTATGTTCCTCTTTCTGTTTATATTTGGCCATCTAGAGCTCATACTAATATGCTCGTTGGTAGACTTGCCCAGTCTAGATGGCGAGTGCACCCGAGAACAGGGAAAGGGAGGAATAGGGTCGATATGCCCTTATGAGGCTGCTGTACACACGTCCTAGTTGATTTCTTTCAGGTCGCCGAGCTTTAGGCATGAATTGATCAATAAGCAATGAATTTATTCTATGCCCTTCTATGAATGATAACAGTGCCACCAAGTACTCCAAAAAAAGAAGAAAACAAACGCCTTGAAAACAAAACACTCAACTAGACAATGAACTACTAGATCATATCCCGCGGCATCTCCTGTGGTAATGACGGCCTTCTATCGACCGACGCTGTGCTATCCGACCCCATCCTGGATTTGTGCCCTCGCTCGTCGTCGTCGCAGTGCTGCAGGATATCTACGACATCTGATCCGTGCAGAGAGCTGCGCTCGTATCTGGTATTATCATGGTTGTGGCTATGGCCATGATGTCTATGAAGGTCGTAGGGAGATATTCCTCGATGGAAAATATGATGATGCCGGTGATGAGACGGGGGATGGTGCACAGTCATCGCCCGCCTCATATTCTGCGCTGGCGTAGCAGTTTCGCCATGGTCACGGTCGTCCCTATCATTATCACGGTCATCTTTACCATCCTGCCTCGAAAACCGATTGTTGAGTATAGCCGAATGCCGCTGAGGCAACGCCGTGCTGTTCGCAGGCAGCGGCTCGTTGTTGGACAGCAGCACAACTTCAATTGGATTGTCGTGCACGATGGGCACTTTGCGCCATTTGTAGATCATGTGCAGTATAGGCACGGACAGGCCGTGGACGATGACGGAGAAGAACACCAGCCAGTATACCACCGGTATCATGGCGCTGGTCAGAGTGTTGATCTCTGCATCGCTGTCTCCCGGGGCCGGGAAGAGTCGTCTTGCGTATTCAACCGAGCATATGGCGCCGATTCCTAGACGGCCGGTTCGTCAATACGAGCGCCTGCAGCACAACAACAGCAAAGAAGCGGGGAGGGGGGAACATACCAATCGGACCAAAATACCCCATAAACAACGCCTCCTTCCAGTCCCGACACACCTTCGACATCAGCCGATACGAGACCAGAAGAGCCGGGATGCGTCGAAACACCAGCACAAGAAACGCCAGCCCCAGCAGCCGTCCGGGCGTGAGTCCGTGGACGGCAATTCTCTGCGGATTGGTGAGCAAGTCCCACGGCATAATCAAGCCGATGAAGATGAAGGCGGCAAAGTTGAGGAATCGCTCGAGGATGTTGTTGAACGAGTCGTGGCGCAGATGCACTTCGGCCAGGAAGCGTCCGTCCCAGTTCAGGGCATTGCCCGCTGCGAAGCAGGCGAGGGTTTCGTCGGCGCCGAAGCAGCCACAGGTGCCGACGATGAACATCTGTGGGAGTTAGATATGTTTGTCTGGATGATGTGGCAAGGATGGGTTACTCACCCCCATGGCCAGCGGAATCAGGAGATAGCTCTCGTTGTCGACCCATTTTCTGTTCAAACGGTCAGTCAAGTCCACTTATCTTCCTTCCATGGCATAAAACACAAGCAGAGAGACAAACCAACCTTTTAAGCGCCCAATTCAGCACAACACGACACAGCGTGCCCACAATGGCCCCATACGCAAACCCCAGCAGCACCATGAACAGCACACCCTCAATAGCCCAGTGTTTCAGCGCCGTATCCAGACCGCCGTCGCCATACCTGCTCTGCTCCTCCGCGCCCAGTTGATCCGGTATACCTTCAGCATGGTCCATCTCGTCCAGCGAAATGGCATTCGCTCTGGTCCCATCATACCGCAGCAGCGCAACCGCGAACAGGAGAAAGGGAAACCCGAAGCCATCATTTCCACCGGCCTCGGACGAGATGAATTCGCGCAGTGGTCGGCGTACATAGTTCTCGGCAAAGGGGCCTTTGGCGATGGCCTGCGAGAGCACGGGGTCGGTGCAGGTGACGCATGATCCGATCACTAATGAGGATACCTGGATGTCTTTAGCCAGGTTTTCTTTCCTTTGGGAAGTGAAAAAAAAGAACGCACCCATGAAACCTTGGGTACAACCAGCTTAATGCATGCCGTCGTGCAGAGCCACATGATAGTCATGACGGGGAGAAGACAGATGGTCATCTCAGCCGCGCGTTTTCGCTGATATTGCTTGGGCAGTTCATATCCGACTTTGATGAGTTGGATTGCGATGACGACTCGTGCCATGTTCTACCATGTATATGTCGTCTAATCAGTTTTGTTTCTACCCACTAGTCACCTAGGTAGAATAGGACGTACATATGCGATTTCGTGGGTGTCGTGAAACACCCCGTTATGGTCCCAGTCAGATACATTGATCAGATTAGCGGCGACGGGGCTGACGATGGTTCCCAGCACTAGGGCTGGCACTTTTGGCAAAGAGGTAGGAAGGTTAGTTTTGAAGGCCTGGTCTGGATAATCCTCGTGTCAGAACGCTTACAGGCTTCCCCCAGGAACCACGCTTGCTGCAATCGGGCTGAAAAGTACCCATAAGCGAGTATGAAGATACCTTTTTACCTCGTCAGCTAGAAAAATCCACAGCGTTGATCAGTTATTCTAAGGGATCTCGCACCAAAAACCGATAGAGACACATTCAAATTGGTAACGTCGAGTATCGGCTTCAACATGTTTGGTCCGCGCAGTCACGCTTGACAGGAATTGAAAAGAATATCATTGAGATGATTCGATAAACGAAGTGAAAAGCAGTGTAGACAGCATATTCCAATGATAATTACAGGTCGAATATGCAATTGAAGATGGACAGTGGAGGCAACTCTGTAGAGGTATGTCAGCAATCCATCTCCATCTGACACAAGTGCAGAAGACAGGCATGTCTAAGCCCCGGCCAGCAGTCTCATGGCCGTTTCAGCGAACAAGACAAGCTAAGCTTTTCGTTCCTTTCTGCCCTTTGGGAGGGAGGAGGAAAACATGCCAGCCGGGCGGAATGGGCGAAGCAAGGAGTTTATCAACTGATAAGTTGTATATATACCACAATCTACGTACGCACGTACGTAGGTGGAATAGCTGATGTACGTAGTGCTGTACCAGGTAGGAAATTGTATGTCGTTCTTTGGTGGGTCAAGCGGCGTGCCTTGCAGGAGCTGGCGAAGCTCAGATTTCCTGTTTGGGGGCTTGAATGAAGTATGTATCGGGATTGTGCATGTGAGATCATATCCTGCCTAGATATGTGTACTATCTCGGAGCGCACTATTGGATTCCTGGAGTATACGGAGTATTCTGTACAACGTAGGTAGATAAGAGCTCTCGTGGTCGCATGCGTATCTACTGTCTATGTGAGTTAGGGCTTTACCATTCAGACCTGCCCGTCTTAGAAAGTAGCGTTGATATCGTTACTATCTGCGTTTATTGAAGTTTGCTTTTTGTTTTTTGGGAGTCAATCTTATTATTACTATTAGGTTTGTTGCCAATTAACATGGTTTAAATAACTTGACTTCCAATTATTAGTACCTACCTAGTCGTCGTAATTATTATTATTAGGCCGCTGTACTCAGGAGTTCGAGCATATGAAAGAATCAATGCATTCCACAAGTCAATGCGTATCATTTTATACCTTAAAGTTCGTATACTTATGATGGCTAGCAATATTGTTGTCTGGATAAAGCTTTCATCCTTCCAAGGTTCCTCTAGAACAGCCAAGCCGGTGGAATATGCCATTATACAACGTCTGCTATACCTAGATAGTTGACATTTTATTAATCTTTAGAACAACAAAGCTAAATTCAAGAAGTTGAACTCTATAATGAAGATCTCATCTAAAGTAAAGCACACAAAATAACTATAAGCTTGCCAGGTGCACCGAATGTTTGTGCCAGCTCGAACACAATAGTAGTTTCGACAGTCTTAGTGTCATCTATCAGTTGGAAGAAAATGCCACTGCTTCTGTCGTCATAAGATAAAGCCAATCTTTATTCAAGACAGCAGCAAAGTAGCATGCATGACTCCAGTATGCGCGTTATATAGTCGAAGCCGGCTGTCAAAACAAACCATGCTACCAACGCGGCCACAAGAATGTAAACATAGTAAAAAACTGGATTCATGTCATTCCCTGCGACTCTGTCGTGGAAAAGGCGCGGATGATTTGAGAGCCAAAGGATGGCGTACACCGCGCAAATCGCTGCAGCACCTAGGTCAAGCCATGTTGTGTAGCTGTAGATGCCCAAGAAGGAGAGTCCATAGGACGTCATGGGATCCTATTTACCAGCTCTACACCGGGGGAAGCCTTCCGGGCAAAAGAAACGCTGCCCTAGTTGCGATTGAAATACCTACAGTACCTTATCATATTCAGACAGCCGCACTAGGCGCTTAGCAGCCTTCAGCTTGAATGATTGCCTCACACCGTCTTTTCATACTATCGATCAATTCACCTGACTCCCAGGCTTCTCGTATAGCTCTCAAAAGCCGCCCGAGGCCTCATTTCCAAGTGCTGCTGAGCGTTTAAGCGCTGGTTAGTGTATCGATCCAATATATACCTAGGTAAGCCTAGCAATTTTCAGCTGGGATAAGATCCGGACGACCAATTGGATCCCCTAAGACTTGTATCAAGCCTCGACGCTCAGATGCCCAAAAAAATAAGGCTTGAATAATTTGTCTTCATGACAGGTCCCAATATTTCATTGACCCCACGCTTGAGAGTCATTGATGTGGACTTCCTTTACCCTGTCTAACCGTAGAACAAGAGTTTGTTTGCCTGGAAGGCTTCCTGCACCCGGGGCTATAACTACTAGCAAACAAATCAGTTCATTGTCTCTATACTAGATGTAAACTATGTGTTTTAACCACACACTAGAACAGGATTCCTATGCCCGGAAGGCTTCCTACATCCGGGTGGGACTATTAGTATATAATTATACACCGGGACAGGATCTCATTTGCCTGGAACCCTGCAGCTACCTAGGTGGGTGGCACTGGACATTAACCAAAATGACACCGCTCATGACTTCTTGGAGCAAGTATTCGAAAAGGTGCTTGAATTAGATGACATGTCCTACTCTGATCCTTCAGACGGATTCTCCTTGGGTGGACTTGTCGTGGTATCCAGTGATCTCCAACCGCACTGCCCTTGGTACGCTGGTGGCCGCCAAACTGAAGTTAGGGCTCCCAAACAGACATTGCCAACTCTCTATGTATCACCAGCCGGCAGAGTACGATTTAGCTTCAATAGCGAATGGCACGCCCCCTCTGAAATGCATGTCATGACAGATCTCTTCAAGAGTGCATTGGTAAGCCTTGCATCGGGAGCATTGCGCGTCGGAGAATGCCTTGGAAGCATGCTTCCCAATTCTCAAAAAAAACGCGCATTCTCAATTGGGGAAATTGCTTCTCAACCCAAACAGCGTTTGAAAGCATAGAGGACGACATCATGACATTATTCCAGAAACAAGCCCTAGATAGAGGTGATGAAGTAGCTTTACAACTTTCTGACCAGAAAATCAGTTATAATAGCGTGAAAGAGATGGTCCGTCTCGTAGGACAACGACTTCGGGAATTGCTGGAGCCTATGAGCGTTGTTCTGATCTATGCAGATGGCTCTATCAACTGGGTCATTGCTATGTTTGCGGTTCTCTGGGCAAATTTAAGGGGTTGGCTTGTCTCATCAGCTTCGATTCGCATCATTACGCACTAGTTAAGGCTCGAGCATTTTTAGTTCCGCAAGAAGATACCGGTACCTTGACCCCTGATGGTTGCAAGTTGAAGTTATGCGTCGAAACAATTCTGCGAGAGGCTCAGGGGAGACAACAGAATGGCCCGGACCCGGCTATAAGGCAGCCCAAACCTCTGTCGGCAGCCTATATATGCTTTCCATCTGGCTCGACCGGGAAACCAAAGGCTATACAATGCACCCATTCAGGTGTCGTTAGTGTCCTTAGAGACCCTGTTGCTCGTCTACACGTTGGGCTAGGCGTCCGCGTAGCTCAAATGCTCGCGCCCGCTTTCGATGGTGCTCTACAAGAGGTGTTTTCCACTCTCTGCTATGGCGGCACGTTAATTCTGAAAACCCCTACGGAGCCTTTTGAGCATTTGCGAGTGGCAGACTCAGTAGACATGACTCCCTCGCTTGCAGCAGAATTGAACCCAGAGGACTATCCCAATCTCAAGTATATATACCTATCCGCTGAAGTTCTGCCACAACACACTGCAGACAGGTGGCCAGCCGGACAGGCCAGCGTGTACAACATGTGCGGCCCAACGGAATGCCACATGGTGTCTTCTGCTCAGAAACTCAAGCCCGGACAATTTGTCACCATTGGGACACCGTTCGAGTCAGCGCGTGTCTACATACTCGATAGGCAGGGGGCATTATCACCTCTCCTCATCGCCGGCGAAATTCACATTGCGGGAGTGCAAGTGTCCCCGGGCTATATCGGTCTTGACGAAGAAACAAAGCAGCGATTCATTCCGAATACGATTTGGCCCACTGACGGCGGACGCATGTACAGAACTATGGATTGGAGCTACTGGACACTTGATGGTCAAGTGGCATTTATAGGCCGCATGGACAGACAGGTAAAGCTTGCTGGGTTTCGCGTTGATCTCAACGACGTACAAGCAAGACTAGAGAAGGCCATTTCGCCAAAGGTTCGCGTTTGCTGTTGTCGTGGCTGGGGATGCTTTAGCTTGCGCAATATCGGATGGGCACAATTTGAGCGAAGACCAAGTCAAAGCAGTAGCAGAAACTGTGCTACTGCCACAGAGTGTCCCGAAACTATTTCTCGAAGCGATGCCGGTAAACCCATTTGGTAAGATAGACTACCGTGCTATTACAAAGCTACTGAAATAGTTGGTATTTAGCCAGCTGCATAATTGAACTTAGCTTTTGATAATAGACAATAAAAAAGGCACACTCGTACAGAAAGCTCTCGAGTGTGGCCCAAAATGGCTTGATGATGCATATTGACTTACTAGTGCATACATGTGCATAACAGCATGCTTTTTCAGATTAAGTTACTCCACATGGCGCCGGCCCGTCATTTAGTGGGGGTGTGGGACTCTCATTGTCATATGTATTTTTCGCATCATCATTTTGTAAGGTAATTAATTAATCCTAAGCACTGTAACATGCATAATTTGTAGATACTCTATAACGTGATTCGGAAACACTCGTAAACAATGAGAGAAGAAGAGCCTCTCTTCCGAATATACTTCTTACTTGACAAACGAACACCCATTGAATCCTTTCTGAAAGAACGATTCGTCTGAGGACCTCCTGAAATCCCGGAAGATGGTGAATGAAAACGAACCTAGATAATGCTCTCGTTCACAATCTCATCCAGACCCGCCACGCAGAGGACTCGCTAGATGTCGAAGCTTCGAACCTGTCATCCAAATGAAACCAGCTTCAGAGGGAAATTATACTTTTAGACGGACCAAATCCGATGAAGAGGGTTGTTGTCGTTGTGTGTCTACTGGTTAGGTGCCTAGGTACTATTCTTATCCACTGTAAGTGCTTTCGAAAGAAAAATTGGCATTAATTTGTGTATGTTGGTTTCTCTGCAGAGGCAAGGCCAACGCGCAAGATCTGACGCAAGACCGATAAGCCGCGACACCGCACTCGAGTTTCGCAGAGTAGTGCTAGAAGCCGGCGGCAGTAGCAATGGCGCTGGATGCTAAAGGACTTAACTGTCGGCGTTGCCTGTGCGTTACTAGGAAGTGGGAATTGACGAGTGATGATTTCTCAACTATCGGAAGCGGCAGTCATGATTGGAAACCTGGACAATTGCCCACACCAAGAAACGATGAAGTAGCTGTATATGACCATACCATAGCTTCAAAATCCAGCATCGACCTCGCACACCCCCAAGACAAACCGTGTCTGCAGATCGTTATTTACGTGGAATGTGCATCACCGACAACGCAGAATGCAGGGAAGCTTCGGCATGTTCAATAAACAGGGCAGTGACATAGCGGTTCCATTAGGACTAGAAAACATTTCCGTATCAAGTGTATTCAGACGATGCATTCAACCAAGTAACTATAAGGTATAAAAAATAAAGTAGAGAAAACAAAGCAGAAGTATCGTTGAGGCTAGCTAATCAAGCAGTCTTCTTCCAGGAGGACCACACTCCGATCAATGAACTGACGGTTCCAGCAATACCGACCAGACCGTCGTCGAGCTTGACGTATCCCAGAGTCGACACAGGGATGGTCAGATCGCAGAGGTCAGACACGAGCTGGATGCGCGCCGCGACACGCTCACTGAGAACAGTTAGCCTTCACATTTTCGACGCATGTAAATATATCTCTCTCAGACTCACCGCTCAATCTTTTTAGCCTCCACAACGCCCTCCCCCTCCTTCCTATCAATCCCCTTCTCCCTCTCCTGCAGCCGATACAGCGTATACACCCCAGCAGCCACACTGCAGACCAGGCCCGACAGCCACGCCCGCGTAGAATACTCCTGCAGCTTCTTCGCGCTCTCAAACTTCTGGAACCCCAACGTATCCACCAACGTAATCGAATCCAGCGTCAAGTAACCCGCATAACCCAGCTGGCGGCCGACAGTCAGATTCTTCAATACGGGGTCCGCAGAGGCACTCTTGTTGTCGTATGCGACCGAGGCGGCTTTGATATGCTCGGCGAACTTGCCAGCGCGCAGGATTTTGCGCGTCAGGCTAAAGTGTTTCTTGAGGAGGTCCCACGGCGCGATGGCGGATTGCGGCTTGTTGGTGCGGAAGAGGTACCAGGCGTAGAAACGAGCGAAGTATTGAATTGTTCGGAGGACTTTGTCGCGGCCGACTGTTTTTTTTTTTTTCATTTTTTTTTTACTCATATTAGACACATGCTGCTGATAATCACGAGATGACTTGTAGGTAGAGTACCTGTGGTTGCGACGAAGCGGAGATAATGAGCCACCGAGGGGTGGTAGACGAGAGCGTCCGCGACCATGGCGAGGCAGTCCTAGATATTTGTGTACAGCGTATATGGAAGCAGCCAATTCAGTCGTCGATGCGATTATTTGTTATTTATGGCAGAGGCAACAATGCATGGATGGCAGGAAGAGAGAGTCGGAGCATCTGTCGGTGGTCTGACGTCGTTTTCTTTGGCCGAGGAGCGTCTGAGCCGAGGTTGATCCGACGCGGGAGATGATTGCGCAGAGTTACCGATGCATGCGCATACGTTAAAATATATATTCATGGTTTATTATTTGCTACTTCATATCCATTCAGAGATGTATTCTTACTATGTAAGTATAGTAGTATAGCTATATCTCTATACTATCTTGCCAAGTCGATACGATACGTTACTACACACTACGTCTCCCCAACACCTCGTCGTCTACTCGGATGCAGACTCAGAGACCTGCTGCTGTGCAGTACGAGTACCCATTGTCGTCGTGTCGAAGCCGTTCGCCTCGAGGTATTCACGGAAACGCAGATCTTCCAGGGCAATCGTGTCCTATATTGAACGAAAGGGCGAAGTCTTTTAGTCAAACGACTCTGGTGAACGGAAGGAGAAACAACGCGTACCTGTCCAATGTTTGGAACGAAAACCCAGCAAAGAACCGCAGTGAAAATGCAAAGGGCACTGGAGATGATGAAAGGATCCTGTCCAGCGCGGGTTGGATTGGGCGCGTTCTTTTGCGCAATAGGCAGCACATAGGTGCCGACGAAAGCGCCAATCTTGCCCATGGCAGCGGCGATACCGTAGTATTGACCACGGATCGCCGTTGCGCAGCTCTTGGATGCAACAAGACCGATGTTGTCGCCTGGGCCAAGCTCGCCGAGGGCAGAGAAGATACTACAAAAGCAACGCATGGTGATTAGTCGTCTGACCCCCTAGGCTGGTGGGACACCAAGACTTACCCGAAGACAACGACGAACGCAGCGACATATTCCGGAGTGGCGAGTTGTTTGTATGCACCCACCATGATGAATCCAACGACACCCTGCAAGAACACGCCCCAGGCGAGGGTCTGCTTGGGACCGAAGATATCACTCAAGAATGCACCGGCGAAGGAGCCCGGGAGATAGAAGGTGTAGGTGAGAATGGACCATGCAAAGCTCTGCCACAGAGGGGCCGAGTCGCCAATGATGATGGCAAGCCACTTGGACGAGAAGATGCCGAAGGAGAAACTGGAGAAATCGTAGATGAACCAGATCGCGCTGACGACGAGCTGTGGGGCGTTAGTATATCTTCTGGGGCAGTTACAGCAGGAAAGGAACGAACCAAGCGCTTCCAGTAGAACCTATACCACGTTAGTATAATGATCTCTACATGTTTGAGGAGGAAGTGAACGTACTTCAGGATCAGCCAGTAGGGGTATTTGTGCATGCGCTCCCGGTTGAACTCCTCCGGCTCATTCAGCTTGTACCGGAGGTAAAGCAAACTCAGCGGAGGAATGACGCCGATGCCGAGACAGATGCGCCAGGCCGCACGCAGATGGCGTTCCGAAGTGGCCACAACCACGATGGTGGCCACGATGGCGGAGACGACGTAGCCAGCATCGATCATGAAATCGGTGAAGAAGATGAACCAACGGTTGCGATGACCCGACTTCAACTCGCCAGTGCTCTCGGCGGCGGCCACGGAGCCGGCCGGGTATTCACCACCCAGGCCAATACCCAGGAAGAAACGGTAGGCCGTCAGGGCATCGAACAGGCCGACCTGACTGTCTCCGGCGCCGTAGGAGCCGGCACACAGGGCACCGAAGACGATGAGAATGCACGTCGCGATGAAGAGCGACCACTTGCGCGACCAGTAGTCACTGGTGACGCCAAAGATCAATTGGCCCAGGACGGTTCCGACAAAGGCAATGGAGGTGACATTCTGACTGGCGGTAGAGTTGTTGTATGTTTCCGGGTAGATATCACTGAGCATGGTGTTGACGGACCCGATGATCTGCGCTTGTCAGATCGATCATTCTACGTATTTACTTATTTATGCGCATGCAAAGACAAACAAATGAACAACCAAATAGTTAGAGAGGGGAGAAAGGGGGGGG